CTCGGTTGCCCGGGACACGCATTTGCTGGCGCCACCCGGCAGAGCCCGGCAGCCCCTCCCTGGCACTGGGGGGAAACAGACCACACAGATCCCTGCTCTCACTTCCTGCTGGTGGCCTCTCACCCAGCGCCTGGCACTGCCACAGGGGGTGGCACTGTCTCTGTAGATCACAGCGAGGGGCCACACGGGAGCCCCAGCTTCATGCAGACCCTGGTTCCAGGCAGGGTGGGTGGTTGTGTTTGGGTCGGGCTGTGGGCTGTGGCCTGCGCTGCCCCCCCTCGGACCCAGGTGCAAGCTCTGTCCTCGGACAGCGCTGGAGGTGCCCCGAGGGCTCGGGTAGCGCCCCGCTGGGAACCCCTCCCCACAGCGATCTGGCCTCAGCCTTTCATCGGCCGCCGCTGAATGCTGAGCCCAAAGACCCCGGGGCCGGCTCCGGCCCCGACTGACCCCGGGAGCCAGCTCCGGAGACCTTAGCCTGCCCCCCCTCCCCCTCCCCCTCCCCTTGCAGGCTACGAGGAGACCCTGACCCGCCTGGCTGCCATCCTTGCCAAGCACTTTGCCGACACACGCATCGTGGGCACTGGTGAGGTGCCCACAGGGGGCACGGGGGGCGGAGGGGGGAGGGCCCCTCTGGCTGGCTGTTTTCTGCATGAAACGCTGCCAGATGGGCACGAGGCCCCGCTGAGGCCTGCCCTGCCCCCGCAGACATCCGTGACTCGCTGATGCAGGCGCTGGCCAGCTACGTCTGCTACCCACACTCCCTGCGGGCCGTGGAGCGCATCCCTGAGGAGCAGTGAGTGGGGCTGGGGGAGGGCAGGTCCCTGCCCCCACAGCCCCGCGCAGCCTCACCTGTGCCCGCCACCCTTGCCCTGGCAGGCGCGTCGCCATGGTGAGGAGCCTCCTGGCTCCCTACGAGCAGCGGCCCTGGGCGCAGACCAACTGGATCCTGGTGCGGCTCTGGAAGGTGAGTGGGCTCGAGGGCGCGGGGCTGGGCCGCACGAAGGGGCCTGCGCGCTGACCCGCACCGATCCTGCCGCAGGGCTGTGGGTTCGGGTACCGCTACACACGGCTGCCCCACCTGCTGAAGATCAAGCCCGAGGATGCCAACCTGCCCAGCCTGCAGAGTGAGTGCCCGGCGGGCGGGGCGCCGTGCCCACTGCTCCCGGCTGCAGACTTCCCCTCCTTCCAGCCCCAAGTCCCTGTCTGTCCCTGGGGGTATCCCCTTCGTCCTGCCAGGGGGCTCCTCGCCTTGCTCCCATCCCACTGGTGCCCGGGGGCCTGAAGCTCTTATGGGTCACAGTCAAGAGGGACAGGTCTTCCCAGGGGCTCTCTGACCTCCTTGCCCCAGCACGTGTCCTTCTGCCCTTCTCTGCCACCTGCCTGGCTGCCTGAGTCCAGGGCACAGACGGACGGGGCGAGCTCCAGGGTTCTCGGGGCTTCCTGGGGGAAGGGGCATTTGGTTGGCGCATAGGCTGCGCTGTCCTGGGGTCCTGGTCTGGCAAAGCCGGGGTCTGGGCCCAGCTTGTCTGCCTGCTGCGCGCTGTGCGCACCCTGCCAGGCGCTCTCTCTGGCCCACCTGGTGCGTTCTGCCTGGGGGGGACAGTGTTTTGGCCTGAAGGGGGTCCTGGAGGCCCAGTGCCTTATGCAAAGTCACCGGGTGAGTCCTTGCCAGCGGCCTTGGCCTTGCCTGGAGGGTGGGACTGAGCTGCAAGTGGAGAGGGGCAGGGCTGGCATCCTGCGGCTGCGGGAACTATTGATCTGCGTGGGGGAGGGAGGCTGCGGGCTCTGGTTACTGCTGCCTGTCAGCCAGGCTTGGCGCCCACCACCTCGGCCACGTGCCAAGGCCAGGCAAGGGCAGCAGAGGGCGGCAGAGGGCGGCAGGACGCCAAGGAGGCTCTTGAGGAAGCTGGCCTCAAGCCAGCAGGGCGCCAGTTTCCGTCCCGGCCTTGCTCTCCCTGACGCCCGCGGCGGAGGACATGCTGGGCCGGGC